TGCTCAGTGGTAGAGAGGAGTGGGCAGAGAAGCCACTTGCTTCTCTTTTAGCAACAGTGTTAGGGCCAGCTCATCTTTGATGCTCCTGCAGAGGAGAATACCAAACTACGGAACAAAGGCACAGATATAACATCAGGACTCCAGAGATGTCTGTCCTGTGTGCAGGATTACAAACAGATGTACAAAAGGTCTCTCAGTGCAGCTGAGGAAGGGGAATGATAAGGTGGCCTTGGTGGGCACCCAGCCGGGGTCACCCTGCTGTAAGACTAGTGAAAAAAATGCCAGTCAATGCAACTCGTACAAAAGAGAGCAACTTTGAGCCAGGACACCCAAGAGCACACACCTACAAGTGACCACATGGCATGTGTGCATGCAGCCTGACTTGTTCCTAACCCAAAAAATCCTGTAAGCCAAGAAAACAAACTTCAGTCTTTTCCCCAATTAGGAGTTTGTTTAGCACAAGCACTCGGTTCAGACATCTGACTAGGAAAAGAGTTCCAAAATATGTTTGTTGTTGTTTTTTTCCCCCCCCAATACAGTCCTTAAGTTTGTTGTTGGTTTTTTCCCCCCCCAATACAGTCCTTACATATTGAATAGGCTTGAGGGACTTGATTGTAGCAGTTGAGCAGCCACAGGAACTGAGGTCAACATACAGGCCTTCTTCCAGCACGCAGTGATTGTCAGTGATTTCCCCTTTGTAATACAGGAGCCAACTGCAAGAATAATGAAACAAAAAAGATAAGCTGCTCTAGCTGCTTATTAACAGTAAGTTTTTTTCAAGACTTAATATTTGCTAAGGACATAAGGAATAAAAAATTTCTTTGTTCTTGTCAAGCTTAAAGGTAAGGTGACTTGAAAGGCTATGTGACAAAGAAACCAAAGCAACAGAATCAAATCACGTGGTACAGAAACCTCAATTCCAGAGTCAAACGACGTAAGTGGAATGCAGACAATTCCACTGTACCAAGTTCTCAAAATCTGGAATAAATTCTATTTGGAGTTAATGAAAGAATCACAGTAACTGTGCAAACTTCCCACAGGGAAAGCAAACTGCTGACTACCCAAACCAAGGACAGGACGACAGTTACTGAGAGGCATTGCAAGACAAAGGATCTAAGACATGATGGAATATGATGGGCATGTGTTATGTGCTTTCAGCTGCCTGAAATTTAGCAATGTTTAAAAAAAAGTTCATATTACTGAAAATGGTGGCATGTAAAACAACAGACTTACCATCCCCGAAGAACCTTAAAAGAACATGGTATGAATGATGTAAAATCAGAAACTTCTGCTGTGAAATCTATACATGCTCCTTGGAAATGTGTATTACTGAAAGCTTTGAGCTACAAGAACAAAACAAAACAAAAACAATGACTAGAAGGCAAATGAAGGCATTATCATTAATGTAAACAGAGAAAGCTGTACTCTCACAGAAGTATCCATTCAATTAATAAAGATACAATAAATTCTCATTTAAGGAATCTTTTACATTTCTACAGCTGCTTTATTTGTAGAAAGATCAAGTATTTTATCAGTTCTGGGCCCAGTACAAGATGCTTCCCAGTGATGCTAAGGCAGGCAGTGTTATCAAGCATAAATTCAACCTCAGCAGGAGAGGGCCTAGACAAAAAGAGGAGGGTAGGACTAAAGGCTGTTATCATCCATTCAAAGTACCCCTGACCTGCAGCTAACACTTGCTACAGTTCAGCAATCCAGCGATCAAAACAGGATGGGGAAGCTTTGGTCAAATGATACAGACCTACTGTTGACAAAGTGCCTTGAAATCTGTGTTTTTCATATAAGAACTAGCAGGAGAAATTCTGAGGGAACTGGGAACTCCTGAAGTTTGGGTAATCTGTTTTTATATGTCATGGTGAAGAACTACAAGTCACACTGAACCACACCCCACCAGTAGTATCTGCTCAATTCACCCTGGAAAAGCAGTAAAGCTGGAAGTGTTTCAGTAAAAGAAAGGAGAAAAACAGAAGAAAAAAACTAGTATGATATAGGCTATGATCTATAGCAAAGTCACCTAGAATTCTGTACCCTTGGGCTGCTACTGTGTAACTGAGATGAATTCCCCTTTAAAGCCTGAAAAAGAGGCTGGAAAAGAATGAAAATGTTAACTGTATCAAGAGAACAGCTCATATTCTGTAATGGAAGAAAAACACGATGGCTGTTGCAAGATCTACTTCCCCCTTCATGCCCCAGATTGGCCTAGCTTCCTGCCAAAGAAAAGAAATCCAATGCTTTTGCCAGTACAGAGTGAGAAGGCCAAACACAAGTATCAGCACATGATTTTATGGAACAGCTCAGTCTATGTTTATAAAAGAAATGAATATGTTTCCTGTTCAAAAGAATAAGAAAGGCTTAACTAACCAGGCCTTGCATGCTGTAACTGCTAATTGGAGGACACAAATCAGCTAGAATATAATGAATAAAGTGTAACCAATTTTTCTGTAAATACAATTGCACTGCTATGCCACAAAGCATCTATTTAAGCTGTAATTACATAGTATTTTCTACCCACTCATCTCAAAGCTCTTTACAAAAAGGAATATATATATACACACACAGTCTTTCTTTCATAGACCATGTGCTATGCAAGGCTTTTAAAAAAGATCCACAAGCCATTTTTATACAGAATGTATCTAATAATGAATGATGGTCTTAATTTGCCAGAAGCTGGGGTGAAGTAGTGATTCCTCAGTGAAAACACCAAGTATCTGCAACTAGTCTCAAACTGCAGCTATCCCTCTTTTGTCAGGGTTCGACGTTACTATAGGAGGTTTTGCTTCCTAAAAACTCAATGGACAGCATGTTAAAATACAAATACAAAATATCACAGCAGTTATATCTGCTTCCTAAATCAACTGTACAAGTCAGCTGCTATTGACAGAGGCTTTGTTCTTGGTTGGGCAAAGCCAAACTTTATTTAATAATTAAAATGAATGGCTTGGTAGAGTTGGTGATTTCAGGCATTCTTACACTACATGTACTTGGTTTAATAGGGAGCCTGGCAGGTGGGAAGGGTCAGGGGAGTTACTGAGAGATTTAAGAAAATTTAGCTGCTTTTCAGTTTATGATGAGCAACTAAAAACAGAAGTGAAAAAAGACACACTCTTGTAGACACTGAAAACAGTTTCCTTAGCTCAGACATATGCTTATTAAAGGTGGGAGAATGAATAATCATTCAAAATAACCAATATATGGTTTATACAAGGGTCAAACATCAGGATCCTTAAGGATTTGCCAGCTCATATGCACCATGCTTTCAAGTCCCAAACCAAAAGACTGGTGCATACATGAAAACTTTTATTTTACTCTGAATGAAAAATGTTTCATATTTATCCAAAAGACTGTCCTTTACTTATCCTAAGTGATTAAGTGTTTTCCCATAAAAACTTACTCAAAATGTTTCCCCTCCTTAAAGAGCTGCAGTGATATGAATGATGTTCTTCCTTCCCTAGCTGTAGGGTAGAATTCTATGAAAACCAGGTTGTGATAAATCAGGACAGTAATTTTTTCACAAATAGTGTTAAGACTGTTATTAGAGAACACAAGAGGCAAAACACAATCTAGTACATGCCAGTACTTAAAGGTGACTGTGCATATACACACACAGTTTTTTCCATGCTGCTGGAAATAAAAATACTGTAAAGCACAATTTTGAAACTTCGAAGGCTTGACTTGACCTTAAAGGTCTGCAAAACTGGAGTAAAGCATTTAAAGAATAGTTGTTTGGAGATCTTGAAAAAATAGAAGAATTGAAGATGGAAATAAAATTATCTTCAACTGTTTGGACCTCACCAGTTTCACACGAGTCAGATATTTTATCTGGTATCATTTACCAAGGCCAAGTCTTTAGATTTGCCATGTGAATAGGTCTGGCAGGAAGTCAGTGTTTAAGACTAAAATAATACACCAATTATGTCTTCAGACAGGAAACATTTCCTGTAGTCCTGGGTTAATCATAAAATTGTAGAACTAGGATACTTGGAGAAAAAGGAGGGTGTGGTCCACCTGCTGAGCAACACAATGCACGTTATTTCCCATTCAAGCAAGAAGGGGTAAAATTGTGTCCAGATGACAAAATACTTAAGTTTGCTGAAAAAGAACATTGAGCTCCAGAGACTCTTTTGTCTGAAAAAAATGTCATGTTTCTTGAAATAAAATTTTCCAAATTTGCTTAATTAAAAGCATGCCATAGAGAGAGCAATATAACCACTGAGATCATCACCCACACTAGCAGCATACTCTAAGACAGAAAAAGACAAATCAAACAACTAAAGCTGGAAGGGAGGAGAGTCCTGTTGGGACAGAATGTTGCAGGAGACACAGACCATGTGTGGTGATGAGCCCAGCTAGAGCAGGCTTTTGTTTTAGAAAGATAACACAAAGGTCCATTAATGGAATGCAACCTTCTAAGATACGGAAGAAAAGTGTAAAACCCTAAACTAACTCATTCTTGAGACTAAAAGTGAATTACAGGGACTGCTTTTTCTTTATAAGTTACCACAAAGTTAGACACAACTTTCAGGGAAATTGTCAAAATGTATCACAGAGGAGATTTATCACAGATTTAACATAATCAGGATGTATTCAGTTAAGCTCTTATGTTACTGTAACAAAAAGGGAACCATGGGGCAAGTGGTGTCTGCTCTTTAAAGAGTAGCTATACCTGTTTGGGAGACTATGAAAACCAGAGGTACCAGCATACAAGACTAAAACATCCAACTTTGAGATGTTGATGAATCTGCAGATTTGACAAGTGCAGTTAAATTTTCTCCACTCTATATTTTCATGAACACAATAGTGACAAACCAGATACAATGCAAAATAATGGAAAGAAAATATGCCACAAAGAGAAGCATGAATGCGTGTGATGGCAAGTTTCCAGAAACAGTAAGGAAAGAAGAGGAAAATAAATAGCTATAGAGACCCAAAGTTACACAAAACCTATTAACTGCTTGCAGTTTTGAGGACAGAATACTAAAGGGTATGATCTGGAATAAAGCAAAGAGCAGAACATTTGCAAACTTAACCTTTATACATCTATACGTTTCCTTCATCTGAAGTAGCTATCAGCTGAAGCAAGACATTCAACATTACCTGCATTTAATTATTAAATGTAGTTTAGTACTCGAGACTGTAATATAATGTCAACATACCAAATGTGGAGGTTCATTCATTCCAAGTGGCTCCTGCAATTACAAATACACATACGCATGTAAAAAAACCAAAATTAATTACGTTGCATTTCCTAGGAGACATGTCAAGTTCCTGAAATTTGTTAATTATGAATTCAAGAGCAGAGAAAAACACCCTTCCCAGGCTCTTGGCACAATTCTCTTCCCCAGTTTCTGCCATCAGCTGCCTGTAAGTTCACGATTACCTGCCTGACTGTGCAGTGCCTTTCAGACAGAACTTGCATCAGCATTAATTAGTTCACATAATGTGGATTAGAGTTCATGTAAATGTCTCTGCATTTATTTTTAAGGCTATTTCTTGAAAAGAGACAGAATTGAAAACAATAGAAGACTGTGACACCTCTTTTGACACAAGCACTTCAAAATAAGATTAAATTTTCCTTTCTTATTTTGAGTGCATTAGTTATCACTTATTACTTTTTACTTATTTATTACTTATTATTATTTAATACCTATTACTGAGGATTGTCGTTGTTTAGCATTTGGGTTTGGACAGTTCTGGCACTAATCTGTTTGGGCAAGTTGCACTATCTTGGACTGAATAATGGATTAAAAAGTATTTCCTGTCTTTATTCACTTAAGATGTATTACAAATATTTCGGCATAAAAATAAGGAAAAAAAATCAGACTGCTATTATACAACTGTATGGGCCAGATAAATTATCAAGTATTCTTATATACATTAGTCATTAGGCATTATAAATTACTATGTTTTAAGGCAAATTAATCTTTACATGCCAGGTTATTCTTTCCATGTATGCAGTCTGCCAAAGTGAAGTTGTTCTTATCAGGTTTCCATGACAATTTTCTCAACAGATAGAAAGATCCAGAGTGTTTATTTAAGCCTCCATCCTGAGCAGATTCATTATGTCATTCACAAGGGTCTTTTAGTTGTTTCCAAGTAAATAGACATGTTTGTATAATGTGGACTGTCCTGTTTAATTATTATGGTATGCTCTGAACTCTAAAGGCCTCATTTCTTCTAAGGTTTTGCCTTAACAAGTTCTGGTAACTCACCAGCTTAACAGGTCGAATTGACATGATGATTTTACTAGATCCTCCCCAGTCAAAGAAACATTTATATTTTCCTTTCTCCAATACATATTGTTCTCCACAGAAATATTTCTGCTGATATGCAACCCACCTGGAAAATGACACAAAAATTAAACTGAAAACATCACATTTTTCTGTGTAGTTTGATGACAATACAACAAGTTAAATACAACAAAAAGTCCATCTGACAGACTGTGCCGTATTAAATGCAATGAGGGGTGCAAAACTGTCACACACTGATTTTCAGCAATATTAAATGCAATGAGAGGTGCAAAACTGTCACACACTGATTTTCTACTTTTACTTGGCAAACACTACTTTGACAAACACAAGACTTTGGGTCTCTGCCTTTCCATTAAATACACATTCATCATGAGATGATGCCTTGCTCAGAAACTCAGAGGAAAGAGATGTAATTGACAATTTTTTGAATCTCTCCCAACTGAATCTCTACCTGTTCACCATTCCCCAGACTGGGCTTTCTTACAACTTTTCCAGTTGGATTTAAGAAAAATGGTGCAAAAAGAGAGAGAGAACTAAATGAGGAAGCCTTGACGAGATAAAGCAAAAGCTTCTCCCACCCTACTTTCCCTGTTCCAATTTAACAAGAAAGAAATCCCCAACTGTGTGAGACTGAGGGTCCCTCTAGTCCTGCACATGCTCTTTGGCAGTGGCAGAAGTAGATGGGGGCTAGTTGGAGTGATGCCACTAACTTACCCACTTCTGGTGGTGCATTCCTCTCTTAGCCACCTATCATGGGGATGCTGTATTAGGGATATTACAGGACATCTCCTTACCCAGTCCTTACAACACCTGTCAATGAATCTGTTTGCTGTTAATTTATCTGATGCTTTTTTTAACCTCTTGGTGCTATCTGCTCCCACAGCCCCCTTCAGCAGCAAGCTCCAGAAACTCACTGCCTCTGGTGTAAGAAAGGCTTTTTTCTCCCCACCTCAAAATCTGTTTTAAAGCAATCTCCAGCTAGTTCTGTAAAGCATCTTTCCAACTGTTGTCATGCAGGATTCTGTGAATGCTACTGCATTAAGCTTGTCTTACCACCTTCAAGATTTTGTGGATCTCATTTGCATCCCTCCTCTCCAAATGGAGTCTCAGCCTTTCATTCTTGCATCTCATCCTCATGAGACACTAATAACCAGGCCCTAGGTAAGCAGTTCAAATCCCCCACTATCACTACCTGCCCTAAGTCTGAAGTGATTTTAGTCTGATCCCTATTACCATCACTGTTAGGGTAGGTATGACAATATTAATACTGCACTTCTAAAATTGCTATTATAAGTCTGGAATTTCCACTCCGTTAGGGTAGGTATGACAGTATTAATACTGCACTTCTAAAACTGCTATTATAAGTCTGGAATTTCCACTCACCTGATTCCATAGTGCTCTTTTTCCATAATGTCTTATGTTTTAGCATTTATTTTTCATGTACGGTACCACTGTGTCCCATATAATAGCCTACTCTATCATTCTGATAGAGTAACTCCTCTGCTTATCCTTCCTGTGAATCTCTGCAGTATCTGCTGGATCAGAGCTGTAATTTCATGCTAAGCATTCTAGTTCCCCACACACTACTTTTTAGGCTTCTAGCACTTTTGAGTTTTGTCCTTGCTTCATCAGGTAATACTGCATATCTCTGCCAACAGAAATTGCAGGTGGTCTAATTTACCTTCCATATTTATTGCATTTGTGCTGTTTATTTTCCTCCTGAACTTCACATATGCACACTGAAAGTTAGCCACGTGCACCCTGTAGGCTATATCAGCTTGAATCAGGTACTCTTCCACACCTGTTGGCTTAACCCCCTCCTTCTAGTTTAAGTAGTTCTCTAAAAAGTATTTTAATTTTCAGTGCCAGCAGTCTGACTTTATTACAAATACAGCACATCTTATTCTTTCTGTACAGGCTCCACCTGCCCCAGAAGGTATCCCAGTTCTTAACATACTTAAAATGTCTCTGATCTCTCTTCTGTATTACTGCCAAAGCTCCTGTATAATGAAACTATATTCTGTGACACCTCTGGAGGGACATCAGAAGCTTTCTCTAGTAACAAGAACACCCAGCTCCAAATCAAGGTGTAGGTATGAGGGCTGTAGAAAACTAAGATTTTTTTTTTCTTTCCAGTCATCAAGAAAACTCAAAGCAACATTTTTCTCCTCCAAATGTTTATCAGCTGTACCATGTGAAATACATTCTGTCAAAAGATGTACCCAGCCATGCACAAAAATACTTAATAGTTCCATCCATATATTTCAGTAGACTTACACTCCACTTCTCACAAGAATCGACCTTGTCTCTGGGCCAAATCCAGCCTGCTCCAAATCAGGGATTTCTTCATTGACGATGTCTAATGCTTTCCCATCTTCATCATCAGACTGATAAAGTGCCACTGATGACTCTATGAAATCCTAAGAGGCAGCACAGGAGTTAGAATACAGGCTGTCACAGCTCACTGACACTTCATAACTTAAAACATTTTGGAAAAGAGCTGTAGGCTGAAAGAAAGCATTTTATAAAGCGGTGAAGGGACTTAGGTATGGATCTTTTTGGGTTATTCTGGCACTGAAGGGCTAGAAGCCTGGCAATCTGATATGGCCTTCAGTGGTTTCCATCAAAGACAGGAAGAATCTGCTGCCCCTGAGCACCATCCTCTCCTCTGTGAGGATGACTGAGCATGCAAACATGCCCATGTGCGAAAGAGAAGAGCTGGGAATTTAGCATGAATCTTCCAACAGCTTCACAGATGGCTACTCCAAGCATGTCCACAATTATAGCTTTTCACTTCAAGTTCTTCTTCCTCATCCCTTTCCAGCAGCATGGCAATAATCACAGAGAGGAAAAGACTGGGCAAGAACACACAAGAGGTTTGTACTTTTTGGATGCATCCATTGCATGACTAATCACCAGAGCTATAAATAAATCCTGCATAACACTGTCATGTTCTCTCTTATATAGCTCTGTGACATGGCTTTAAGCTTTCAGCTAGCTTAGTCGCTTGACCAGATTACTTGCACAGCTTCAGATTATTTGAATTTGGGTTTCAAATCTTCAGCTTCTTAACCACTTAGCAATTTTAAACACATAGTTCAGTCACTGCTTGGAAAAATGGAAAACAACAATCCATACACTTTATTCCTTTAACATAAAGCATAGAGTTCAGTGTTTCTCAAACATTCAGCAATGTTACAGTAAGTTGAATCCAAGTACACCTTGCACAAGAGATAAAGGCTATCAAGCAAATAATTTGGACAACAGAGATACACTAACATATGAGGACACCACTATAGGAATTATTACACTAAATACTTGCTGCTGTAGCACCTGCAAGCTACCAACCAGAAAGCAGTATGCTGAAGGCTACACTGAGAAAACAAAGACTTACAACTATCAAAAGGCACTTAGAAATTAAGGCCAGACCAAGCATGCAGCCAGATTCATTTGGTCAGGTGAACCTGATCAAAAAGGCTCTTTAGAGGACACCAGGTCCCTGCACAGGATGCAATCACAGTAAATAATGAAAATCAATTTTAGAATGAATGCTTGATGTGGTTCAACCTCTCTGCACTGTTTACAGGACACTAAAAGGTGACAGAACAAATTCCATAGTAAAACTGATTTTCCTACTGTGTTGACCACCTCCTCCTTTCATTGATTTAAACAGTTGCAACTACTTCAGGTATACACTAGAAATTAAAGTGCCAGATCTTGCAAAAACAACTGCAGCTTCAGATTACCTTTTGGAAAAAAAATAAATTCAAACAACCAAACTAGTACTAGTGCAAAGGAAAAACAGCTACTCTTAGCAGTCCTAAAGCAAAGAATTTGTATGAATACCTGAAATGTCATTTAGGTCAAATCTACACAGAATTTCTTTGACTAAATCTAAAATACTGAAATATATCCTCAATTGTAATTGCTTCCAATACATATTTCAAATTCAGTCATCATTCTTTTCTTCCTGAATTTGCACTACAGCTTCTCTTACAGTAAGCAACAGGGGAAATACTTTTCAAGAAAAGACTTTCAGATGAAGGCAAATCATTCTAGACTTCAAAACATTAGTGGGAAAACTCCAAAGGCAACATACTCTGCTCCACTGAAAAAGACCCAGAAGCTTTGCTCTCCCCCCGATCACGACAGCCACGGGCAAACCCTGGCTTCACAGATTCATTTGATGCTGCAGAAAAGAAGCAAATGCAACTGCCCCCCAAGCTAGCACACAGTATAAACTGCTGTCTGCCCTCGGGAACAAGCTCTGTATTTGATTCTGGTGTGTTCATTATAGATGCTTATAACGGAGCTGGCAGTAGGTGGAAAAAAATTCTACAAGATCTTTCTGCTTTCAAAAACACCCAAGATAGCCAAAACCTGGAAGCTCTTGCAGTATACCTACATGTACACCTTCACCAGTGGGTGGGGAAGGGGACATGCAACAATCCCTCTTTTGTGTGCCATGTCTAACCTTTCCAATTTGTCAGGAAATTAAATTCATGCCTCAGCTCAACTGTAGTCACTGCTATGTGCATGGAAACACGGGCTGGATTTTCCTAGCACTAATAGGCTCTGGTGGAACCTGTCATGTTGAGTGTCGTGGCGCAGGAACATCTGAATAGCTTTGCATAGTACTAAGCCCCATTGACAGAGCTGGGACTGACACAAGCTAATGAGCCACTCTGTACCCAGCCTAGCTCTTTGCAGAGCCATTTACGTGCCTCTGTACCACACTCCCTGCTTTGGAAGCATGACACAAAGACATTTGATCCCACTCTGCCTGGAGCTGACTCAGGTACACAGGGCTCATTAGCTTCAGCTTCAAGCTGCATGAGCCAGGCTGAATTGTTTTCAGGTCTGAGCTGGCCTTAAAGCCAACAGAGTCAAGGTGACCTGGCATGATGCCCCAGCAGATTAAAAAAAAAGAGTCTAGCTGAATTGTCTCCTATATGAGACCACACTGATGAGCATGTATAAAGAGCAGGGTCAATGCTCAACTCCAACCCCTATCTAAACTGACCATGACTAATGCAACTCAGTTACATTTCACAAAATCCTAAATCTTCTACAGAGACTTTTGAATTCATTCAACTAAACCAGACTATGTAGGGAAGAGCAATCTGATATTTAGGAACATCCCTGTGGATTCTGAGATCAATTCAAGCTTTACCATGCCTCCCCTGACAGAATTTCTAGAGAAGAGCTAGTACATTTGCTGTGCAGTGACAGGCCACAGAACTACTTTGGGAATTTTGCCCATGTCCCCTTGAACATGACAGTTTTCTACTGAAATAATTTTAAAATCCTGACCTTAAGTATCGTATACAAAGTCACGAAGGGAGCATATGGTAAGCCTGAACATTGACCCGTGTATTGCACATTGGAGAGAGTCAGGCAATCTGTTGGTCAAGCCAAACAACAGAATTGCAGTGCCATTAGTCATTTTACTGGCAAACAGCTGCCTTTAGTTATGCTACAATCTGAGGAAAATTGTTCCTTGCACTTTTCTTATCAATATGTACATATTGATACACATTTATACACCAATTTCAATGATCTATGTTGGTATATGACTGCGAATGATATATGTTTTTAAAATGTTAATGACTGGAGCCTTTTGACTGTTCTAGGTGTGAGTCAGATTAAATACACACATATATGTGGAGGGCCATTCTTGCTAGGCACATGCACTGTTTTAAGCTTGTATTTATGTCCTTTGCCAAGACAAAGATCAAAAAAGATCAATTTAAGTTGCTCAAGTATTAACTGGAAAAGAGAGAAAAACTAAAATTAGTCAGTAATTGAATAGGATTCTGCACATTCAAAATGAGGAATCTGAAGAAATTTCCTGCCTGTTTTTTTCTCAGAAATCTGAAGACAAATTATTTAGAGAAGAATATTTATCTTCAATTGAGTTTATTCTCCTATCTTTATTTTAAGTTATATGATAGATTCTGATTATAAATATAGCTTTTCCTAGGGGCCTTTCATAAAAATCAAAACTACAAATTGTGAATTTAAGCATGGCATTCTTGGGTTCACATTAACTTTTTAATTTTGAAAACAATGTTGAGACGGTGTGTTTGCTCTAAATGCCTATCTTCAATCACACAAAATTCCTGGCTCAGGAATATCACATCTCCTCAGACGAGGAGATGAGTAATCCGAGTATACAAAACTGAGTAATATCAGAGTGAACAATCTAATTCTCAAAAGGAGCCACTCTTTGCAGCTGTATTTAAAGCTCACAGAGTTCCCATTATAGTAAAAAAGTCTTCAAACCCCCAAATGAACAAACAAACCCCCCGAAACCAAAGGAAGTTATAAAGAAGTTTTAATCCCATGTTTCTCCATCACTAAAAAGTCTAATTTTGCTTCCAATATTGGACTCTTATAAACAGGTTTTATTATTATTTCATCTTTGCCCCCGCTAAACACATTTTAGTAGCAGGATTTTTTTTTACCATGATTATTTTTGCTGCCAAAATTTTCTGGCAGAAAAATCACAGAGACAGAGGGTAATGCTGTTTTAAGGCTTGCAACAGCTGCTGCGTTGAAAAGCTATTTTTATTTTAATAAAGAACTACACTGTACACTTAGGCATGCTACACTTTTAAGAAAATTCTGTTCTAGACATTCAAATGACTTGAAGTGCAGAAGTGAGTTATTTGGAAAATCTGGCAGGTACACAAGGAATTCTGCACAATAGATTTTTTTTTTGTATGAACTTTACAAAGGGCATTTAGAACCTGTTTCTGCTTTACAATGTACATAGTGCAGTCTAAATTAAAAAAGAAAGAATGAGAATGAACATGGGCAGAAGATGGAACGACTAACCCAAGACAGCTGTACTATATACAAAGAATAACCTTCCTCTTTATGTATAGAGCTGCGCATAATTTGTATGAAATTCATGTAAGAACTTACGGCCTGAAGGAACCGGAAAGACAGGAGGACTAACCTTCCTCTTTACGTATAGAGCTGTGCATAATTTGTATGAAATTCATGTAAGTACTTACAGCCTGAAGGAACCGGAAAGACAGGAGGACACTGTCAGTTCCCCCCCATGAGTGTCTGTCTTCATAATCTCCCTCTTCCAGCAAGTACTGACAGCCTTTGTAGCGTTCCTGATCATAGGCAACCCATCTATGGCAACCACACAACAAAAGAAAGAGAAGTAAGCAAAAGCAAAATGATTGCACAGACAATTTTCTGAAACAAATAAAAGGAGAAGAGAACATCCCAAGAACACTAAAATGAGTATCACAAACTCAGCTAATGAACAAAGCAATGCTTGTTTGAAATCACAACAGGCACCCATGAAGTGTTCTCTGTGGATCAGAATCCCACCATGTGATTCTGTATCCAACAATAGTTTATTTAAGTAATGCTTCCCCATGTACCTCCTCTCAGTCAGCCGTATTCCCAACACCAATATTCAGTACCACAGAGGCTAGTATGCATCTAGCTGCCAAAACATTCTAAGCCACCAATTGTCAATGATAAAAAACCCCAAGCACTAGATTTTTTCAGTGTAATAATAAATGATGAGTTTCTACCCTTGATGGAGCTGGTGACAAAATTAACATATTTCAGCAGAACAAAATTTTGCCCCCTTTTATTTTTTCCTGCTCTAATCTAGAAACACATATATATGAATAGACAAGCAAATTGAAGATATATAAAACATACTGCATATGGAATACGTTTTAGCACTAAATGAATAAAACTTTTAAAAGTATTTTGAACAAACAGAAAAGGATTGATTAAAAGAAAGTATTTCCACATCAACTTTGAAAGCCCTAATAGATCTTAATTTGAAAAAGTGCTTTCCTCTCGTTCTAAGCATTTCTTTCATTAAAGCTCCCTTGTAAATATTAGAACTGTGGTGCAAATTCTGTTGGCATTGAAATTTGGCAGGCAGGGGTAGCTTTACTTTGAGTACCATTTGGTTTACATTAACTCAGCTGTTTAGGTTACCGCAGTACTAAAAATAAAAGCCACCACAACAGACAGAACAATGATTTTTAATAATTTGAGGCTTCCCAGATAGCAAATACACAATGTATTTATGAATAGATTATTTTAGTATCAACAACTCAGTTTGTTTTGAATTTAGTGCTCATAAGATTTTTGACAACAGCCCCAAAGGACTTATGCGATTCAATCTTTATCTTGAAGTATTAACATGGAAATCCCCTAAGAAACAAACCCAGATTTTTCTGACAATTATTTTATTACTATGCTCTTTAGCAGAAGCAACCACCCTGCATGCTTTCAAACAGTCCTATATTGTTGAGTCTTGGAAGAGGCTGAAAGAACAACATGAAGGGTTGGTAGCTCTCTAGAAGAGTTGGCACTGAGTCTACCTTGAGTGCCGTCCTCCTGAGCCTGTGCTACAGAGCCCTGTGTGTATGATAGAGAGGGGCAGGGCATCACAGAATCAATCTGATGTCTCAACCAAGAAAAATAAGAGTAGATTCTTAATTCCAGATAACATGCAAAGGTGGCAGAAGAAAACCATTAAGACAATAAAACAGTTTATAGATTTCAGAGGCAGTATTAAAATGTCAAAATGAAGACTGACCACACCTACCCAAGGTCATTTCAGCAAATTAAGTAGAGACTATTAGAAGTATAAAGCTATTTAAATTAAAGGTCTGGGTGAATGTTGTCATTAAGGAACAAAGTGCCATAGTTTATTAGCATCCAAATGGTAAACATTGACTTCACATCTCTCCCACATTTAGCTTTATCTTCCTATATTCCCTATGACACATAAGACATATGGAGAGGTGGTTTTAAGCAAGTCTGATAACTGACAAAAGAAATATATACTCTTTTTTTTCAAACATTTCACCTGTGAAAGATTCCAATCATCCCTTAGTTAGAATTTCCTAGCATTCCTAATTTTGAATAAGTGAAATATACTTACACTCCACCAATTACACGTATTGATCCGATTTCCTGAAACTCCTCTTCACTACCAAACAACGCTGGGACAGAAGTGATGTTTTCTGAAAACTCTTTGGACCATCCTCCAAAGTTGCTTTTCTCATATATTATTACCTAGAAAAAAAATGATGTTGAACAATGCCCTGAGTATGCCTTGAACAGTAATTTGAGGTTTTGTGTGTATCTACTGCTACACTATGTGGAAGACATCTTTTCCCCCCTCACTATGAAGAAAACTCAGGGTTGCATTCCTCAGCCCTTCTGATTTCTGAATGCCCTAAAACCTGGAGACACTATTTAGATACTTATTCACACAACTCTACATACAAGAATGTACTCCATGGCTGCATGGGCAATGTATATTAGCCTGCAGTAAATTCTACCTGGTCACAGCCAGGCACACTAAGCCTAATCCTTCAAAAGTAAACAAAGATCTTTCTCTGCATTTTGCTGAAGCTATTTCAATAACTTCAGGTGACAGGCCATTCAGGTTCCTCATCTGCTGAATCACACCAATCAGCTATTAACAGCTTTAGTATTTGTTTCAGTATTTATTAGAAAAACACCTGAGTCTTGCATGTATTTGTACAATTAAAAAGGAATTCCTGTTCCCTTCCTCCTTTTCCTTAAACTTGGTATGTTAAATAGGAAAATCTCTCCCGATCCATTTACCATTACAGTGCCTTATGTGTAAAGTCAGAAAAACTAATTTTACTTTGTAAAGCTTTACAGTTCTTCTATAGCAAATTCACACTCTCCTAACACATGAAAAATCAGCTACTACTACTTTTACTCTCATGAAACATTAGAAAGTATTAGCGAATTTTTCTTCAGCAGCAAATGCTGAATACTTAATCAAACATTATATACCCAACAAAAAGAAAACAGTTTAAAAAAAGGTTTTATATTTCCAATGTGCTCATGTTTTATCCTGAATGTCCTCAATGCTTACCTTAACATTCATTGGCATTTGTACCTTTAGTCCACCCTAAAAAAGAGATGGGGGAGAGGGGGAGGTATTTATATTAAAGTCGAAGCTATACTTTGACACATATTTTATAGTACTATCAAAGCATGAAGTCTTTGCAATTATATTCACCATTTTCAGTGCTGGCCATATCAAATGCTAGTTTAAGTACTTTGATATTTCAAAAGGCCAGGAACACTATAAACATGACCTACAAACAAATCAACGCACTGACAAGCCTGTAAGGGTGAAGCAATTAAAAATATTCCTTCGTTGTCTATTACCAATCTAAAGCAAATATTTACTACGTGTCTTTAAGCTAATTTATATTGACCAATTTTTGTAATTTGTTGCATGTATTTCAAGTTTCTTAAGCAGAAATGGTGAAGCTCTAAGGAACTATAAACAACAGAAGAGGGAGAAAATATAAGATGACATATTCATGTCTATGGTCAAAGAGCAAATACAACAAATGCATCTTCTCTGGAAATGCTAATGAGTGATGTTCTGTGAGGGAATAAGACACCTACCTCCCTTGAATGACTAAAGAGACAGCTGTTAGGCTTTGTTCCTTTATGGTTTTTAAGCTCTCTCTTTCTGTAGGCTTGCTATGTATATAGTAGAATTATGTGTTATACTCTTCCACATCTCTTTCTTATGTGGATCTCCACGCTGTCTATCAATACAAAAATTAGCTGCACCTCCCACGATTTGGGGAGGTGGTCAGAGAAATACTATTGGGTACTAAACTCCTCATCTGGTCTTCCATCCCCAGCAGACTCTAACTGTACCATTAAAAAAAAAAAAATCAGCAACTTCTGAAGGGCTTTTTCGTTAATGAATTGGTGTTGGCTGCAATAAAATTAAGAGCTTTTTGGTCCTGTCTTATTTCATCTCCATACAACAATAACTCAACTACAACTTCCTTTCCCAGGAAGATAAGCTGTGAATCAGGTGCTCCCTTTGAACTACTTGGGCAGATGCAGAAATCCAGCAAGCCACAGGGACCAATGTGCTGCTACAACACAGCAAACACACCATGGTGCGAGACAAGTGTTACATGTATAAGGATCAACCTTGAAAGAACATCAGAACCTAAGCTATATTTAGGTCAAAACCTTTGGGGAAGCAACAATAAGAAAAGGAAGGCACACAACTTATTAGGGAATTGTTAAGTCCTCACCATTTTTAAGGGCCGCAGAGATTTTACATCTGCTGAAGGAATTTCAGATGGTGAACTACATTCTTCCAAAACTGTCATCTCTCCCTTGTAGTTCAAGTCTGAATAAGCAAGCCATCTATAACAGTAAGGATAAATGACTCATTAATTTCATTAATTAGATTAGAAAGTATTATTTTCCTTTTTGTACTCACAAGAGCTAGATAATGGTTTAGATACTGACAGCACATCAAAACAAAGCTATTTTCAAATATACCGGCTACGTCACTGCTAAGAAGATTTCAAATACTTTTTCTCAGTCTGTATTATATTCTCTAGATATAAATGAGAGAAGAAAATTACCAATTTGTTCACCAACTCTTATAAGTCAATTTGTTACACTATGAGTACACAGAAAAAGACAGTACTAAGGATGAGACATTTGCACTGAATTTTTTTTCAAGGATCCTCACCTTAAGTGATGACCCTAGGTAAAAGGTGAGGCTTCTAACATCAATCCCACTTCATTTTTTTCAGTGGAAGTTATTAAAATATGATGATTTTTCACACTCCTTTGGAAAGCTATCATAACTTTGACATGAAGATTAAAAGTGCTGAGACTCCTTCAGAATGTTTTAAATCAAAAAGAAAGCTGAATGAAGTTGGACACAGGGTTAGTAGACCAAATAAGGAATGGAGGAAAGGCACTGAGCCATATGGAAAGTGGTGTTCTTAAAAATACACAGACCATAAGCAGTTAAAAGTCATACTAATTTCTGTCATAACTAAGACAAGACTCTGTTTTTAATTCCTTCACCACCTCAAGTTTCATAGACATATTATGAGGCTGTGGGAAGGATGATTTGGCTTATGTGGAAAGGCAAACTCAAGACTCTTAGAACAGCTAGTGCCATTCTGCTGTGATTTATGAGAAGAGACACAGAACTCCCAAAATTCAGGAACTGTGAAGTGTTGGCCAGTTATGCAGGAAACAGCCTATTCTGCCTAATAGAGGAAGTGCTGGGCTACCAAGGGGCCTGTATCATATTGCATCACCTTTCTCCAGAAAGTCACAATATGGCTGTAGCTTGAGTAATGCTAGGATGATGTAATACTCATTTTCTGGTATTCAGCCACAGTGTTGTAAGTTACAACAGGGTGGGTGACTAGGGGGATGGTATCTATTCTCCAAAGAATTGAAAGCTAATTATAGAGGAGCTGCTGCTTCTATTTATAAAGCTACTTGAAAATGGAATTATAGAAGACTCCTGCCAGCAATTAGGAAAAATGCCTTAAGATATTTGGTTCCACTACTAGGAGACCACATAGCACAACACTGAAGTGTAGAGCTGGGAGTATCTAGTCTATGTTAACTGATTTGCAGTAACCCCCCCACAAATACTGTTCATTTTGCTGACTGACTCTCATCCCATGATGTTATTCCTCTATCTGCTGACAAAATGCTATCAAAGAAGTTCAGTACTTACACTCCTGATTTGACTCTTACATAAGGGTTTTTCTCAACATCCAGTTCTTCTAAATTGGCCACTGCACCCTGTATGCGGATAGGAAGTCCCTCTGTGCTACCAGCAGCCAGGCAAAACTCTGCCTCTGGAATGCCACAGTCCTGTGAAAACAAATCAAAGGGTAAGGCTTATCCACACTTGCAGAGTCCGTCCCTAAAGGACTGGTAACCATTCCTTTTTTCCCCTCCATCTTCTCATCCTCATACATGATGCATGCATAATTAAAACTTTCTAGAGGTGTTTACTACATTCCTGTCTCCCTCCCTCCATGACAATTAAGTTCTGTAACAAATACAACTATGGTATCAAGCCATATGAGTTCAATTTTCTGTTGTGCTAAATAAATCTACAGCGTTTTGGACAAAGAAAGAAAAAGATCAGTATTATAAAACATCTATTTTGTTAGGGAGACACACTAGCAATTTTCCAATTACTACAAAGCAATAACCTTTATTACCTTCCTGAAGCTTCACTACTCATAGATACCAAGCTGGAGAGCAACTTGTTGAACATATGAACTCTCTAGAATTTGCAGGGATTTTATTGAACTGACCTCATTTTGTAATATTTACATAAAATGCATTGCCAATACTTTCTTCCCCAGCACACAAACATCATGAACCAGTGAGGATCTTCTGCAAGGCCCTACTTCAGCAAGGCATTACCCAACAGCCTTCCTGGTACAGCCAAAGGTGGCTCATGTGCTTACAGCTTGCTCAGCTGCAGCTGGAAACCTTCAGTTCTCCATGATAACTTCACAGCACCCTTCCCCTTACCCTCCTGATCCACAGGCCCATTTGCATTAGGACAAAGGGCTTGCACAGCATAAAGAGACCTCAAAAGTCCTAAACATGGCTGGAGGAGGATGCTCCCTGCATGTACACTAAAGAGGGATGAGAAGATGTTTCTGAGGGTGCCCTCAAAGAAGCACCTGGTTACTGGATTTGAGGACTACCCAGGAGGGTCAAACTACGACAGAGATACTACATGGACTTTGGCTTCTGCCAGACCCAAAAGGGAAAACACAAGAACTTGCAGAGAAACCCAGCAACAGGGCACAAAAGCAATGTGTAGGGTTGGACTCAATGATCTTTGAGGTCTCTTCCAGCCCAGTTGATTCTATGATTCTCTTAAAGTTACAGCACCTCATCTCATGACAACACCTGCATGCACTCCTTTTTCACACAGGTTTTGAGCAGAGTTTTTACAGAGTAATATCCCACTGCTTCCTGGTTAGTGAAGTTTTTCCAGTAGCTATTTAACTGTCAGCTATAAGTGTGGCAATTATAATAGATGGACTTCAGAATATTATTTCACTTTTCTCGTGAGACCTTTAGTACCACAGTATACTGTTTTGGCAACTCTCCCTCATGCACAATGACATTTCCTCTGTATTGTACCTTGCAAACAATGCATACTATTTGTTCTTAGAGCAAAAACTATAATATTATAAATTTTATTTTCAGATGAGCAAAACCAGAAAAACTAGAAAAAAGACTTTCTATTACAATGCTACTGAAGTGGCATTGTTGTATGCCAACAATGGCAAAGTGCTAAGGAACTCCACACCTCAATTCTAACTGTATTGCTAGACAAGATTTCTTTTTTAAAATCTCCCCATAGTTTTCACATGTACATGTATCTTATTAAATCACAGGTAAGAATTATTTGACATTTGTAGTTTTTTGGGCTTTTTTTTCTAATAATACCTCTTACATGATGAGGCTGAAATCCATAAATCCAACAATAAAGCTTGATATAGAAAATCAGAAGTTGCACCTATAATTCCACAAATAATGATGCTAGACTGTTAATGGTTTCAGATAAATTCTGCAACAAAGTACTTACAAGACTAGACAAGTAGCAAAGTAAACTATCTCCCTGCGGGCTCAGACAGAATATGAGATGGAGATGTTTAATTTTAATTCAGTAGTTGGCTTTTGGTTTTGTTTTTCATTTAAGATTGGAAAAAGCCAGTCTGTATTCTCTTTTCAAGTCTGCTCTCCTGGCTGTGAATCTCATGAGGCAGTCTCCAGCTCAAGAGATGACAAATACAGGAGGGTAGGTAAAGCACAGGCACTCATAATAAAATCTCTCCTATTTATCACCATCTCTCTCTGGCCAGATTTTGACAGCCAAAAAACCTCTACTCATTGTGACGGTATTTTTGTATGTACTAGATTAAGTCCACAAACTTCTTTCATAAACTGTCACACAGTAAACTGAGGTTTTGAACAAAACCAACTCAATTATCTATTTTTAAAGGTAGTAACATGTTTGAGCAAGAAATACATTATATTTTCTAAGCACATTTTTTAAAGTTACAAACACATTGAGTTCTATTTACATTACAGCTGCAGTAAATGGTAACATTTATTATCACTGTAGGACATGAACACTATGTATTTGCAGATGCCACTCAAATACCATACCATTAATTTATACAATTCAAGCATGCAAACTTTGGCTTGGTAAATATTTGCCTTAGCATGCTCATATTTGCCTGAGCGTATTTAATAGGCATCATGACTTTCAGAGGCTTCTTTAACATTCCTAATAAAGCCACCATCTTCAGAAACAAAATGAAAACCACACAAATATGATAGCATTCAGGTTGAGAACTAGATCCTTCAGTCCAAAGCCCTTTCATCTGCAAGGCGTCAAGATTTTGAATTAAGATACCCACATGCAAAACTATTATCATGCAAAACTACTACCACAGTGTTTCAGGCCAGATCCAAAGCTGGGAAGTTTCCTCCCTGTACCTGCCCCCCTAGCTGTGCCACCCCCATCATGAGTAGTCAAAATTCACATCACTCATTATCCTACTAACACATCCAGCAATAACAGAAAAAAAAAAAAGCACAGCAAACAGATTAAGTAGCTGTGCTCATTTCCAATGATAATACACAATCAGCAAATGCTTAGGTAGGTCACAGCCTCCAGGCATCTCACTCTGCCTTCCTTTACTCTCTGGAATTCTCCTCCTATCTCCAGGAGGAGTGCCTGTGCTTCCCTCACAGTCTTTAGGGAGCTGAGATGTTTACAAAAGCATGGGGAACACTTATGGACACTTCCAAAAGAGCAACATAGCCCTCAGCAGAAAGGTGAAGGCTTCTTCTGAAGAGGGTTAAGACCTTAGAAGGAAATACTACTCTTTGGTGGCATCAATGACATTCTAGTCTGACCAAGAGCTGCAGCAGTCTGACCCCCTCAAAGTGGTCTTGGCTGTTTAACCCTTCTTCTGGACCTAGGGTTACAGGCCTAAGAGCACCAGCAAGACTAAATAATTTCAGCACTGCTAGGTCTTCTCCTTGGATTTGTAAGCTGTGGTGACTGAAGTAATCAAGAATCACCTGTCTGAGGTAGATTTTTATGTCAACAACAGGATAAAAAATGACTAAGATCTGGCTTCTCAAGCTAAATGCCAAAACCAGGATGAGAGAAGAGTCTATTGAAAACCAGGCCTAATTAGTTCTGAAGTTCACATGATTACTTTTTAATACATGCATCTTACTTTTGACACATGGTTCATCCTTGGGACATATCAGCTTCTGCAGCATTGTAAAAAAATATTACTCTCTGTTGGTCCTCCAGGCTTTTTTACCCATTCATAATTCTTGCTCCCAGTCAGTGCTCCAGCTCTATCATTCTTGCTACAACCCATCACCACCTAAATAAACTACAGAACTCAGCAGGGCTGGTAGTAAAATAAAATAATATTAAGGAATTAATGGTTACTGTCCTGTAAATACCAAGTAGCAAATGAAGCTGCTGGGTGTCTTCCTATGGCATCTGAGAAAGTAGTCCCTACTTAAATTATTAACTTGTTTTCACCTAGCAAACCACATAAGCAAAAGAAACATACCCTTCATATAACACTGAGAACATTCCCATTACAAAAAGCTTTGCTTAAGGAGAGTCCACAAGGAATCCAGTCATTCCCTGCCTAACCATCTTGCAGGCAGTGATTATAAACTGCTGTTGTTTCAAACCTCTTGTCACCTTACAAAAAAGTGGTTCACAAGGTTACTCCAGAATGTCAATGTCAGGAACTCTTTTTAGGTCTTGTTTTTGGGGAAGTAACATTTAGCAGTCTCTTTGGGCTTCCAGAAACAGATAGCAAAAGCCCTCCAATGGCATAAGGTCACTGTATGAATTTGCAGGCCAGAGAACTGTCTTGGCTAAGCAAATTGTGCTGCAGGAGCTGTATCGAACCTGTGTGTGCAGGCAGATTTTGCTAGCCTAGGCTCATGTTGACTTGCCGTAGTGGAAATCAGTCTCCACACTACTTCAGATAGCTCTTCATTTTACTAGTTTCACGATCTGGTTCTTTGGAATCTCCCCTCTGCCCAAGTTTCTTGAAATTAAATATACATGGATACACCTAATACATATCCAGTTAGTCTAGCCACAAGCTAATCACAAAGCTAACATAATCTTTGCTTTTTGTGGTGGCATGAAGTCAAATCAAGAGCGCAAAGCTACTGGCAGTCTGCTTTTCAGCCAATCTGCTTCTAAAAAATGACGGAAACTAGTATTAAATGTACCTCCAGCAGTTTCTTTCTCTAAAAAAAGACGGAAACTAATATTAAATGTACCTCCAGCAGTTTCTTTAGTAAAAATCTGTTTCTTTTCTTCTTGGCAAGCCCTTTTATTCTCAAATACTTAGCCAATATTCAAATCTGCTAACTCAAGGCATCTGAGCAGCCATTAAGCAAACACCATAAAAAGCCACTTGAAGAATTAGAAGACAAACCAGACAACTTGGACACAGAGCCAATATGGCCAAACTAGTCAGGAGAAAAACCACTGAGCTGCTCAGTCTATGAAAAAGAGAACGACAGTAAAACATGTGATCCCGTAGATCATGCACATGAGCTGCCTGAAAAAGAAATGGCTATTTGTCAAATAAAAACAATGACTGTATTTTCCACAAAGATTTAAATAAATAAATGAGGTGGCACTTTGGCAAACTACCTTCTAAAAGCAGCTCCAAAGCAGTTGAAGTACAGCCTCAAAAAGAGGGATGCTTCCATGAATCAAGGTCTAGAGGATAAAACCTGGCCAAGGGAGTTCCACACCCACCCTAGCTCCATATAGCCCTATGGACTAACAGGAAAAGCCCTCCTAACCAATCATACCTACTAGTGGTTTAAGTTACACAAGAAACAGTGTTGATTACTGAACTAGTGTACTGTAACAAAGCTTTCCATCTGTGTCCCATATAAATGAACCACATACTGAAAAAGGAACAAAGCTCAAATCTATTTAGTTGTATTACAACGATTTTTATCAAGTATGATGATGCTAAACACAGCGTCTTTCCTATCCAAGAGTTTTTTTCATACCCAAGACACATTCAGCTTGCCTTTGCTTCAGACCATAGTTCCACATGTTATTGTGGAATTCCTTTATTTACTTGGTTGCCTACCATGTTATTGATCAACATTCATATTATAAATTGGTCAAAAGCTTTTAATTTATTTAGTTCAAATAAATGCCAACTTCATTATTCTTGCCTTCACCCAGCCTCTTTTTAATGAATTTATTGTCAAGTCTTTTAAGAGAATGAAAAAGTATTTCTAATTGTTACAACATGATCCTCCTGCACTGATGACAAAAAGGTTATCGATTTGAAAATGACCTCTACACTAGCAAAGAACAGAGAAACCACTTTACTGAAAATCTTTCACATTGTGATACAAATGATAATTCACTCACAGTAAGGGCCATTGCCCTGTGAATAACTGGAATGTTACACTGAACAACGAGAGCACTAAGTCTTCTTAAATCACAAGATCTGGTAAATATATTCCTCATTTACTGAATAACAATGGATGCATTGTATTCAGTTTGAGACATTTGATTCATATTTTTTTAACAAAAAGCCTTTTAAACTCCTGGCTGTAGGCAGAGCCACATGCTGTAGGTGTACCACTTGTTCACATGCAAACCCTACAGATGGCACCAAACTGTAGAGAGAATGACAGTAATTTTTGGAGGCTACGCTGTACAAATGGGATTGGAAACCCAGCTACTAACTTCTGAAAGAAAAGTCATACAAACACAGTGGATAGCTTAAGATAAAAACTTTTTTGAAAAATATGAAATGATTCCATTGAACTTCAATTAACTGGACAGGAAAACATTTAGAAGGAGGGGAGTTGCTGTGTCACATGAGGGTGGCAACAAGGAAACATAATCCATCTGCTCATTAATTCAGGATGAAATATAGTGCAGCAAAAGCTCTAGAATTCATCTTGGAAGGTGAAAAAAGTGATTCATAGCAAATTTGAATGGAGTCAGAAACACAATATACATGTTGTCTGTTGCTAGTAATATCCCATATATGTGAGTATGTTAGTAAGAAAGCCTGTACCTTTGTTACATGTTTGATCGAACCAACTGTGAGGTTTCTTGAATGATGTTTCATGCCTGGGACATCCCAAAGGTGATCCAGTACAGCCTCTCCTTCTTCTAGTACATATTTTCGACCCTGGAACTTCGGTTTCTCATAAAAAATCCAACTGTAATAACAGTATCATGAACTGAGTTGTTGCTGTTAGGCAAGACTGTCCCTATAAAGCACATCTGATGGAAAGCCCAGAAATACACTCTTTTGATCAAGCCAGCTATCACATCTTTCTTATGCTATCCCTCAGTATCACATTTACTTTGCTACTGAAAAGTGAAATACACAGTTCTCCTCCAGGATGCAGCCTAACATAACTTAAAATATTAATTGTATAAAAATACAGCTAAATCACAATGCAAATAAACAGCTTTACATTACCAGAATAAATACATTAATTGTCACATCAAAACATGTCTCATTCAGGCAGATACTATGCAAGGCATAAAACATACTAATAATTGCATTCAGCATTTCTTAGGATGTGAAAGAAATGTATGCAAATCCATACAAGGTGGCCTCAAAACTGTAGAAATGTGACATGCATTGTTACTATGGCTGACAGCCAGAGACATTCACTGTAAGCATCACCAATTAAATACCAGTGCAACAACTGACATGGATCCAGCCCCAGCTTCCCAAAGCAAATCCAGAAACACTAGCAAGCTTAAAGGTACTTGTATATATCCTTCTGCATCCACATTCCTGCAAATGCTACATTGCAAACAGCAGCTGAGAATGTTCATTTTACAGTCTTTTTGCAGCAGCTATCATATAATGAAACCAAACTGTAAAAACCCAACATTTTCTTTGGCATACACATGCTTCTAGTCATGATGATGGCTGTACTGTCTCAGCACTTCAGGCAAGAACTTTCTAAACTTACTTGTGGCTCTATTAGAAACTTTCTGTTTGAAGCTAGCTCCCAGGTGAAACACTATATTTTTTTTGTACACTGCAGCATTTGAAGCCTTGTTTCATGCTTTTTTCATTGGTATCAGTCTAATTATAAAGAAAGAAAAAGACACTCTTGCAAATCAGATGTGTGTCATAAATAAAAGAAATATGTTTAAACACATATACAATCTTTGGAAAGACTATTTCAATATGACCTGTATTTCTTACCATCCTCTAATTATCCTAAGTAATGTTCCAATGGGAAAAATCCATGATGAGGTATCTAGCACATCAGAATGAACTTCTTTAGTTTTGTTGCCATAAATATCATAAATAAGAATCTGAAACAATATACAAAGCATGCAAATGAGGGCCCATTTCAACATATAGTATAGACAGTTATTTTCTGCTTGCAATTTGTGCCCCCTCAACTGAGAGGCTACACATTTTCTTCTTCTATGAAACTCTTCTGAATGAAAACAACAATTGCTGAGAGATACAGTAAAATTACTAGTGGCAGCATTTGTAATAATATAATCTCATTATTAGCATGTGCTCTCATATAATAGATTAACAACTTCAGATGTTTTCCATGCAAAATGTTTGGTGTGACAAATCAGTACGGTACATTGAATAATTTAAGTGACACAGATTTTTCTTACCTTTCCTGGTCTTGGATTGTATTTGAGACTTGCCCTGTCAATGAGGTTCTGAAATTAAAAGGATATGGCAAACAACTATTAACACCTACAACAGTAGCACACAGCACAGACAGATTATTCCAGCTACACTATTCCTATACATGTACACAACAGTCACTAGCAGAAATAACCAAGATTTGTTGCACAGTCATTCAGAGATGATGCAAATAGCTACACAGAATCAATCAGCAGAAAGCAACATGTGCTAGAAAGGAAGAACTACTATGGAAGTTATAACCTTTACAAATGTATTACCCTTTCAAAGCAAACAATGAACTGCATGTCTTAAGAGAGGAAAAAAAAAAGATAGCTCTAACACAAACTGAAGTATCCAACATCAGGGAAAGACTTCTTCACTTACATATTTGGTCTGTGCAGCACTTTCAAATTCTAAATATTGATAGAACTCTTTCCATACCTTCATTTGCTACTGTTTTAAGTACACTAAAAAAGAAATGTTAGTCTAGGGAAATGAGTTACATTACTCACTTGCTAACTGAACTATAATTTGTAGAAGACACCATGACAAAACAATCCAACAGCCCAGTAAGCAGATGGGTTTGGGTTTTTTTTGACAAGCCAGCTCTACTCATCTCAGAAGTGAAAGAAATAAAAGAACAATTTTCATACAAAAGGCAGTTCCATCATCTTCAGGTTGAAACACCCTTAACACGGCAAGTCTGTGTTTTGCTATTACAGGAAATTGCTATTATGCCTATTTTCCTGTTGTATTTTCTGTTCACCTATTCTGTTTCACAGTTAAGTCACTTTCACCTGCATGCTGGACCAAGAATATTATGTTTCTAAACTATGATATTAAAGTCTAATTACTTCTGATTACTTTAATGATAAAAGAATTAACCATAATTAAAAGTTGGCAAGGAGATTAGGGAGACAACAGCTTTGAATCTGGGCTAATTACTCTGATTATAAATATTATGTGACATGACATCTTACCGCTGACAATTCTCCCAGTTTTGGCATGGCGTTGTCTTGAGACCAGTGAATCTTTGGCTGCAACATATCCTGGAGAATGCTTCCAAACCTGGTCCCCTTCTCAGAAGGGCAATTGCTGGCAGATTTCAAATACTGGTAGTACACACTCGTAGGAGGATGTGTTAGAGTAGCATCAGGCTTCTCTGAAACTGGTTTACAAGGTGTTTGACTGGGAAAAGCAACATCTGGAAACTGTTCCGGCTGTTCCTGCAAGTCAAATTGTTCTTTTGAAAGAGGAAATGATTGTTCAGAGAGCAAAGCTCTATTTTGGTCATTTGACGTTTTTAAACTGCCTCTCCACTGGCTGGAAAGATAGTCATCATCTCTCTCAACATCAAGCATATTTTCCTCATATGATGATGATTCTTCCTCGACCTCTATTGCGTCCTCCTCCTGCTCCTCCTCCTCCTCCTCATATCGAGCAGTAAACTGTAAGCGCTCAGAAACTGACTGGAGAAGGGAAAGAACAGAAGCGTGGTCAGAATTATTTTTCGATATTCCACCAGGACGGCTTTCCGGTGACACATCTGTGGAAAGTAAGTCTTCCTGGGAGCTGTCATCTTCATATATGGGAGACAAAGAGAAAGGATATACTCTGTAACGCTTGGCCTCCACACTCAGAAATGACTCCAAGCTACGGCTATCTGTTGTTTCATTCAACTTGCTATCTTTCCCAGAAAGACAGGTTGACTCGTGCTTATTCTTTGCTCTTTCACACATTAGATGATCTATAGTATCTGAAGGCAAATCAGAAGAAGAAAGCAAACCAATTTGCACATCATCAGCAGTTGAGACAGATTTGTTCTCAGTTTGAAGAGCACCTTCATAAATGATAGTAAAGGAACTGTTTTCCCACTGTTCAATTAGCGGAGAAGAGGCCAAACATTCTGTTGATTCCTTCATGTCATGGCTGCAGTCCAGACCATTTTCTTCAAGCTGATCATTTCTCTCCATGTCTTGATCCTTCATTTGTGCCTGCTTCAGATTCCCATTATTTTGGGCAAAGACTGTGTTGAAGCAGTGTTTCCCTTCACTGTTCTTTCCACTAACAGACAATTCAGGTACAATGATCTGTGTATCTAACCCAATATTAACCTCTGCTCTCTCACTTGCCCCTTCTGCTAGTTCCTCTTTACCCTCTACTGCCTTTGAATCTTCTAAAGCTGCTCTTACTTGTGCAGGTAGTACTTCTGCAGTCTCTCTTCCACAGCATTCATATGGACTGTCCCCTACACTGCCTTCCAGAGAGCCCTGAGGACTGCTTTTCTCTTTGGATTCATTCTGCATGCCAATACCTTCATCAGCCATGAAAGATGACAAATTAACATTTGCAGCTGGCAGCAATGTGCTCTCTCGCGTATTTGTAGTATTGCATGAACCTTTAAAGTGCGATGACAGTAGAATTTCTTCAGTCATGGTACCATCTCTATGTACAAAATGTAAAGATCCATCAGATTTTCTACTTGTTGCTGATACTCCAGGTTTGCCACACATTTCTGCTGCAGCCAGATGTTCACACACCTTTCTATGGTGCCTCTCGTTTGCAGGTGTCATAAGATCTGATTCTGGCCTTGCAGAACTACCAGTGGGTAGAAATCCATTTGTATGACAACTAATTGCATTATTTGGTATCTTTTCATCTCTTTTGGGCAAATCTATGCCATTTTCAATAGTATTTGGAAGCAAATGAGGACCTGAACAATCTGCCTTTTCACAGTTCACAGTTACACTCTGAGTTTCCTTCATCTCTATTGGTTCCTGCATTTTGGCAGGTAACTTCACATCAAGATTCAATGTCTTTGGCATTTTAGGCTTAGGTTTAGGTTCAGCCTTTTCAGGCAACCTTTCACTCTCAGTGCCTTGCCACTGGTTGGATGCCAATTTTTGTATGGCCGAGTTAATTACTTCATTAACTGTTTCTTTTGCTTTTAGTGCTAATGCACTATGTAGGTCAATTTTATCAGGGATGCAAGATAGTGTCTTTTCATCTTGATTATTTGTATCCACTCTTTCATTTCCTGTAACAGAAGATGAGCCTCCTCCACTGCTCTCATTAAAATCTTTTAATGACTGCACGGCTGACTGGATTTCTTCTGCTTCCAGCTGTACAGTTACAGCTTTCTGATCATTTAGAATATCTGTATTTATTAAATTATCCTTGCTCCCAAAAAGCTGGCAGACATCAATGGCTTCTTTTGCTATTATTTCTTCTGCAGCCAAATTTAAAACGGATTTCACTATTTCTTCAGCTTTCTTAAACAAAATAGCAGCATCTTGCAATGTAGCACAATCTTGTCCCTTCACATCGGTATGTTCCCATTGCTCATCAGAACAGAGCCCATTTGACTCTGCAGGTACAGCAGCTGTTTGACTATCCATGACAGAAGGGGCTTCTGAGATAGCAGCAGCACTGTTACCAAGAATCACCTGTCCCACAGCATATCCTGCACACCAGTACAGGCCAACTCGTATGCTGTTTCCAAATATTTCAGAGGACAGATGGGTGGTGGCATTGTCTCTGCCAAGGCACTGTTGCCAGCCTGTTGTGTGGAGAAGGCCTTCTCTGCTGCATCACTAGTTCTGTGACTAGAAGAACTACTGTTCCCTTGAGCAGTGCCTGACATTTCCAAGGCAGAAGAAGAAAGGTTGGAGGCTTCTCTGGATTCTCGTATGCTGTTTCCAAATATTTCAGAGGACAGATGGGTGGTGGCATTGTCTCTGCCAAGGCACTGTTGCCAGCCTGTTGTGTGGAGAAGGCCTTCTCTGCTGCATCACTAGTTCTGTGACTAGAAGAACTACTGTTCCCTTGAGCAGTGCCTGACATTTCCAAGGCAGAAGAAGAAAGGTTGGAGGCTTCTCTGGATTCCAGAGTAGGTGAAGTGGGCCTGGGGATGCAAACACCCGCTACATCTACTCCAGCAACAGAACTATCAAGCACAGGTGGACTAATCTCAGGTTCCAGAGAACCAGCTGGCCACAAAGCTCTCGGATCTCCTGAGCAAGGCAGCCCCTCAGTCCTTCTGTCCTTAGGGATTATTCTCCTAGATTCTGAAGCTGGAAAAATAAAGCTGTCCTGTTCAGAAGCAGCAATCTGGCCATTTTTAGAGTTAGTGGCAGAAGGCAGCATTTTTCCTTGGTTGTCAGATGAAGAATCAAGTACTGTGGGTGATACCCTAGGCTTATTGCTGCTTTCCTCCCTGGAAAAGAAATTAATACACCTGTTTACAGAAACAGGTGGAGATTCAGAAATTATATCTATATTGTCTTTTTCACAGGTGAAAGCAGAATGGTTGTTCCAAGGTCTTCCTTCATATTTCAGTGCAGAATGGGAAACTGCCAGATTATTTTCTTGTGACTTAGAAATATGAGATTCAAGTTCTAACCTACAATCTTCACACTCAGAAGTAACAAGATCAATCTCAGTCATACCAGTCTTATCGGTTTTATAAGCAGCAGGAGTATGACCATCTGTCCTTCTCATGGTGATTAAAGGGCAAGGTGCAGTGTTACCCTCTGTGAGTATAACTGTCTTGTCAGGGATGTCTTGAACAGTTTCAAGAGAAACAGAACCATGGTTGTGGAGAGAAATAGAGTTTTTTGAGAGGCTCACATCTACAGGCTCTAATGATTTGCTCTTCTCATACTCAAGATCAGGATGAGAAAGAATCTCTCTGACATCTTTTAAACCGACTTCTTTTTTCCCTGTAGTTTTATTCCTGAACTTGCAACTAGGATGAAGAGAAGCTGAGCAACAGCCTCCAGTTTCAAAAGAAGATTCATAAGTTGCAGAGAGAAGTGCTGTCAGCTCATCACAGTTCACACCTTCACCCCCATGTATGCATGATGCATTGGCAAGGTTTTGCACTGCAGCCTCAGATAAAACCTTCATTGTTTCCACACCCTCAGTTTCTAGACAAGGTAAACCAGTCTGCTGTGTGGCAGCATCCTTAGAATTCTCCACATGGATTAACTTGTGACCATTTTGTACATGCACTGGTTTCCTTAACTCATTCAGTTCTCCATTACATGTCGCCCTGTCCATGACTCTATCTTCATCATGTCCAATAGATGACACTGAAGCAGTCAGATTACCTGTGGTCATGCATTTTTCCCTTCTGGATTCCATGCTAAGTGAAGTGGGTATTTGTTCATTAAAAGGAAAGAGAACAGTAGCAGGAAAATTCTGCAGATTTTGCTCTGTTTCTACAGCTGCCACGTTTTTCTGCGTATCACTTTTTCTTGGATTACTATCTTTATTTGCACTACCAATATGCTGATCTGCTTGCTGCTGAAATGTAGTGGTACTGAAATGAAGCATCTGGACATCCAAAGTTCGCTCCGAGTTATTATCCATTTGATGATTACAGCAAAATTCTCCCTTACTCACCTGCAGTTCTTCATTAACTGTCTTACTTTTTGACTTGGGTGAATGTAAATAATCATCCTGTATGTCTTTCGGGGACTCCTTATTAGCTGCTTTACTACAGTCATTTTCTTTATCAAAGTTAGAAGTGGCATTTCTATCTGTCTCAAACAGAGCTTCTGCTTCTCCTAGCAGTCCATCTTCTTTTCCAACCAAATCATTTGCAGAACTCACTTTAAGAGAATGAGCAGTCTGGGAAGTGGAATTGGCTAAGATCTCACTGTTTCTACTACTAAATGTCAAGAATGAATCTAGTGAATACGTCCTTTTAACTTTTGTTGCAGCTAAAGCAGGGGTGTGTCTTAAGTCTAGCTCATGACATGATTCAGTGGTTGAAGTTGTGGCCTTTGCAGTGATTTCATGTTTACTGCTACCCAGGCAATGCTGAGCTTTACCAGACTGTTTGTTTCCCATTCTAACTGCAGAAGAATTTACTATGGCATCATCTTTGCAATCTTTACCCTCATCTTCCGCATTTTCTTCTATTAGGTGTCCTGATTTCAAAGAGTGAGTTATTTGGATTTCTCCATTTTCTTTGACCATTGTATCATTTATGTTCTCAGTACTTTCTTGTCCTTTTCCAGTCATTTCTGATTGATTCTTCATTAGCTGCCTAATCCTTGAAGAACCTCGATACGTTGCATAAGTGACTGCGGGTGCATCTGACTTCCGTCGCATCTGCCTGTAACAAGGATCATCACCATCAGCACAAGACAATCTAAACACCTAGTATGATAATAAAAGGTTAAACAAACAGTAGATGATGTACAACACTGTTTTCTTCCACAGGTTAGCACAAACTAGATTGCATGCAACACTATTTTCCTTCTTTGTGTGACACGATACATACACTATTTCTTACCAAAAAAAGACGATTTGAACTATAAGCAAAAAGTAGATATTGCTATAACCACCTTTCATTATTTCTTCCTACCAGACAACAGAATTACTATTTACAGATGCCCCTGCAAGTCAACATTTGCAGTGACAGAAATAAGCATACTTTTTGGAAGACGATATATCCTACTAAAGCAGGCCTGTACATTAAAACTGCAGAAAATCTACTGTACTAAAGTTCATTAAAATATTGAATTGAAATTTAAACTTTTATCCAATCTCTCAACATATTGTTAAGAAGCAGGATGAAGAGAAACAAAACACACGTAAAAGAAAGAAAGTATAAAACGGGATGTTTTTTGAACCACAGGGTAGTAAGGAAGGAGGCTGAATGGAAATCAGGTAAGAATGAAGTCTGTTTGAATACTGGAAGGAATACCAAGCCTAGAAATGTGACAAGGAATTGGTAGATCTAGTTGTTCATTAGTCTTAACTTTAGTAGCAAGAAACAGTGAATGTAAAAATTAATCAAAGAGCCACTACAGAAAAACTATGATCCTGATCCTTCACTGCTCTTTCTGATAATACTAAGAATAAATTCAGAGCCTGTTGCTTTCCATTTTCTGAAGAAGCAATTTTGCTTTCTTAAAACTAACAGACATCAGAAACATTCACCTTTTTTTCTAATGCTTCTCTCTTTCCCCCGTACCTTTTGCTTGTTAAAGATTTCTTGCAAAAAGCAGTCACTGTCAGCTTTTCCCTTCCTCACCTTAGGAAAAAGTGGATGCTCAGACTGTGCTTAAACTCTATTCTGCCTCCACCTAAACTATGAAGAAACCCTTTCAAAGTCTGCCCTGTATCTGCTAACCTGGTAGCTGGAAGTAGCCATTCACCAGGGAAATTGTCATACACTTTTCTTAGGCAAAAATAACAACAAAAATGGTGTTGGCTAAGATTTTGATTTCTAATATAAAAGCAGTGCAATGTGTATGAAATCTTATTACCATTTTTAAAAGCTCTTGGCACTTTCCCATTAGTTCACATTTATTGAGAAGTTGCTACAGCTCCAGAGCTCGGGACAAATAATTTAAGTGAGAAAAAAACCCCATAAGCTTACTAAGAAAGAGGAAACATTGGAGTATCATTGAGTAACTGGAACTTCAAATATTGCCTGTATGGGTTCTGCGTATATACGCTCTAAGCAGGTATACAAGAATATAAAAATGGAGTGGATTTACCAATCTAAAAATATAATCTTTTTTTTTCAAGATTTCAGGGGACAAGATTCTTACTTCAATATTAATTTTATTTCAAAGAGGGGAAATCTACTATTATATTTAAAAATAAATTTTAATAAAAAATTAGATAATAATATATTATTATTATTTAAAATCAGAAGTAAACTCCCTCCTTGTGCAGTATTTGGACAAGAGTACAAACGAACTAAAAGTGAAATTATTCACATGCATAAACATTAAAAGAGAGAGATAAAAGTTCATTTATACGTATGTTTTATACTACCAGGTATTTTTAGGCTAATGCCAAAACACATCAATATGTGAATCCAGACATTGTGAGAACTTGAAAATTAAGTTTTATTGGGATTAAATTCACTCTAATCTCTAACGAAGGCTACAGCAGAATCTCAATATAGGGTTTATTAGCCAGGTATAGTAAGTTAAAGAGGAAACAGGACAGTCATGTATAAATAGCACACCTCCCAAGCCTTTGCTGAGTTAGATGCCTACATTTAGTCTTCTATACCACTAATTTGGTTTCCAGAGATACCAATGGTGGTAGCAGCTAAACATCAAACACACCATTTGTTACACTTGGTGCCTTCAGGATTCACATCCCTTCAAAGAAACATGCACATTTCTGAGTGAAATAAACAAACCACAGTTGGAAAAAGGGTAGTAGGGAAAAAAATAATTATAATTTCCCTTAAAAACTGTGTACATTATTTTCCATTCTTTCTCAAAGAAAATTTTCTTAAAATATTTTCTAAGGCTCCAGAGATCCTAAAAATGTCAGGGGAAGGATCTGTTGAGTTCTATACTACACTATATTCACTCAGCATCAGTCATAGTCATACTAAAAATAAGACTTAAGAATCTAAGACCTGATCATGCTCTTATTCAGAATTAACCTTACTGAGTAACCTTTCCTGCTTTAATCACTATTAAGCTTTTACAAAATCCATCAGCTCTTCCGTACTTCAGCCAACCTCATAAATAAAAGTTGGTCTACTAGTTTTATGGGACAAATAGGCAAATTTTAGAGAAGATTGCATACACAGGGATGACAAGGAGAACTGAACATGACTGAGTTCTAAATCTACACTGATTTGAGACACATGCCACCAAATAGTTCTGTCACTTATTACACATGGTCAGACAAACAAAACATACTCAAAAGTTTTTTGCCTATGTGGCAACCTTTTATCATTGCTCCCAATTCCTTCTGCTGTCTTCTGAGGGAATTTTATGCTCTGACTGATTGATCAATCTGAAATCTGAGCAAGACTCCAAGCAACCCACCCTAAGGAGCTCTGCACGAACTCAATCCTGACTAGCACTGGTGACAGCACTGTAGCCTCTGCCAGCATCTCCCAACACACAGCTCTGCTTTCCTGCAGACTTGCCTCTACCAAGAGTTTCAGCAGCGAATGCTATTTTAAAATGGAACCAACCTTTCCTCCACAGACATAGCAACTTCAGGATCTCTGATAAAGAATTTGCTGCTCAGAATATTATAAAAGCTTTGCCAACAGACCTTTTAGTCCTACTGCATTTACTTCTAGAGCACACAGAAGCATATTCAATCTGAACACTCACAGGCAACAACAAGACATCTAAAAAATGAAAACCCGTGCTCCTATGTGGCAGCAGCAATTCAGCTTTGAGTCTTATGAAACATATTTAGAAGCAGGCTGTGTCACAAAAGATCTTCTGACAGTGTCACTAGAGACTTGTTTAATTTCTGATCTCCAAATGAATGTCAGCTCAGAGCTTACCTTAAAAACTCTTCACAACATTTTTTTTCACTCATATGGGGATGCAGATGAAAGCATGATTATACAAAGAACCCAATGTGCATTCTATCACATATTTAAAATATGGGAGATTCCTTCTTTCCTATCTTCACAGGAAGCTATTCAATTCCCTATAAAGCCTTAATTCAGTTTCACAAAAGACTTTGACAGCAACAAGAGAGGATGTCAACATGAGTTAATGTTAAATTTGTCAAAAGTAGGTGCTCATAGATATTTCTTTTATTGTGAAAAAGATATAAAAAGTTCAAGAGGGACTAACACCGGGAGGAGAGGGGAACATCTTCCGACATCTCATATGACAGACATCTTGTATAACTTGCCCAAAAAAAGTGGCATTAGTTATAAAACAGCCTTGTTGATTTTGAAGCCCTGAAGCAGGAGGAAACCTACTACCCTGAATGCCTCATCTTAGAGCATTCATAAAGATGACATCATTTGCACCTTTTTCAAGTGTATGCCAGGAAGATGGCAATCCCTCCAATCCTCATATTTGTACCATGTGATAATGCAAAAAGCCTGATACCATTTTCAAAACGATGGAGAAAGACCATACAGCTTGATACAGCACTACATGGGTACAGCACTTCAGATCCCCAGGCAGAACAGCTTCATTTGCACTGTATGGCATCCACGTCAGCAAGCCCTTACAAGCAGCACCACTGCTTTGCTCTGGGCTCACCAGTTCAGACTCAGCAGTATCACAGAGCAAGCATACTGCTGTCTGGCCTATTTCTGCAGCATGCAACACCCAGCTCTCCTAACACATACAGTGATCATTTTTTCCTCATACCTCACTTTTCCAGGTATTTTCTCCCCTGACTAGCAGTCTCCTGCTTTCATAAGCATATATGTGCATGATTCTCCTAACCTACTTTCACAGACCCCACAGAAGTAGCTACCAGAGAGATCTGCAGGCTACAGGCTGAAAACCACTGATCCAGATCAGTATGTCTCTTGTGGTTCCTGTGTAACTCACCCTGACTATTTTAAAATTATGCTATTGTTTATTTCATTTTTTCCCCACTTAGTTAAGTATGCAGTAGAATAAAAGCTAACAACTTTATAAAAATTATGTTAAGGCCTCTTGTCTGGAAACGACTGTCTTAAAAGTCACTTCGCAAAACCTTCTGCTGGAATCCAACTGATCCCTTGTCTGGAAACAACTGTCTTAAAAGTCACTTTGCAAAACCTTCTGCTGGAATCCAACTGACTCAGCCAGTTGGTTTCTAAGCTCATGTCAGATATTCATAAAAGGGAAAAATAAAAGACTTGCTGAAAAAAAGACACTGTGGCCTAACTGAATAGTTGCCATATACAACTTAAATGAAAGAAAACGATTTTTTAGCCAGAGGGGATAGCTTCATGATTCAAATCTGTAGTCTGAAATACTTCATGTCCTGGGACTTTGCAATGTATATTTTGAAAGGTCAAAAGTTTGGTTGAACAAAGTGATCTGCACACAGTTGATTCTGCAGGAAATTTCAAAGCTAATGTTCCTTAAGGACAATTAAGAGTCAATGACAATTTTAATAAAAGCCAACGTAGTCTTTGTGACCTTGGAAGGAATGCTTTTCCTTCCCCTTGCCCTTTAGGGTAGTACTTCTTGATTATCTTCCACATCTGGGAAACCCTACTCTTTGAGGCTGAAGAAACAAAGCCCACATTAAGGCTGACCCAAAACACTGGCAGCTGCAAGACCAAGATCTGCAGGAAGAGCCTGAAATCACCCTTAGCTCTTCACTGCCATCCTTCCCCAGTTCTCAGCAGCAGCCAAACTTTCTGCCCC